GGAAGAAGGTAACAGAACAGTGTGGAGAAACACCAGTGAGACAAGGTTTTGCTCCCCTCCCTTCTCACTGCTGCTCAGGGGAACCTCCACCCCCCACCCAAAGGCATTAGACAACTGGACATGTCTACCTCCAGGAAGAGGGAATCAAGTGGAAAACAGAGAGCTGGGTTTGGGGCTTTGGTTCTTCAACCCAAAGCCCTCAGGGTAACTTAGACAAAATGGTTGGGGTCCAGGATGACTATGACGAAGGCAGACACCTCCCAAAAAAACACACACACGCACGCACACACTTTCCCACACACACACAGACAAGCACTAAGAATGGGGCTGTGAGCTCTGCTTGGCAGAGGTTCAAGAGGCCCAACCCAAGATGCCTGGATCTGAGACCTAAGGGAACCTGTCCCCCACACCCAGGGAAGCACCTGGTTCTAAAGAGAGAGTGGCTTCAAGGTCGTGCAAGCAGTCAAAGCCAGCATAGTCCCAGAATCTGTGGCTCTTCCCCAGTGTTCCCTTCCCCATCGAGGCAAAAAGGCCACAAAATGCCCTCCTTGACCTCAGCTGTGAAAGATCATTAGTAAAGAGAGCCCTCCAGGTCTACAGGGGACAATGATACAAGAACTAGGGCCACATCCACGGATCCTGGACCAGAATCGGCAGACGCTGATGAAACTTGACGTGCCCACAACACCTCGGCACTACTCTGCCCCTACAACACAGACACAAGTCCAAGGAAATGGGACCACATTTTAACACTGGCAGAATGGGAAGGCAGGGTAAAGTTGTCATAAAAATGATTTCTCTCCATACCTAACTCAAAGAACTGAGCTTTCTTTCCAGTTTAACAAGCTAACATTTATATCAAGCACTCAGTTGGTGCCAGAGGTTGTTAAGTGTGTTTACCTCATTCAAATCCTCTCACTCCTACAAAGAAAGCACTAGAAGCCAATTGTCACGCAAACAATAAGGAAAAGAACTTCTCTGTGGCTCTGAGAGATATCTTAGAACAGGCATTCATCCCACCAGTGGAGCCCAGCCTGGGACCACCAGGACAGGTGAGCCTTATGCCAGATCTATGCTTGTGTCCAGAAATGTCATTCCTACTGCATGTGTTCCTGGGATGAACAAACCCTGAGCAATTTTTCAGGGGTGGTTAGGAGGGGGCATGGCATCTCCCCTAACCCTGCCATGTGTGGTTCCATGAGTGGCTCAGGATGGCCACACCAAGCAGAGGCTGCCCCCTGTAGCTCAGACTCCACACTGATGGCCTCTACAATGTGGGGCTCATTGTGCGTGGAGCCCGCAGGGAGTGCAGGATGCATGCCTAAACAAGCAAAACATATGCAGTTGTTCTCACGGTCAAGAACCCGACTGACTGAATCTTATGAAAAAAAGCACTACAGTAGGAATATGGAATGTTAAGGAAACAAAACTATCTGTACCCTCCCTATAGAAAAAGGAAGAAAAAATCCACCCAGGAACAAGGAAGAGATGATGCACAGTCCTACTCAGGGAAATGAGGCTCCTCCTCCTGCCTCCAGGCAAGTCCCCCTCTTCACAGCCTTGAAAGGTTTCCCTGAGCTCCACTTCCATTTGCCACCATCAGAATAGCAGGCTGGCAACAAAAAGAACTTACTTCATGAAAGGAATCTAAATGCATTGATTTAATCCCTTTATTCTTTCACAGCATCCTATGGACTTCATGCTTCACGATTGTGAGGCTGAGAGGGAAGGCTTCCCCAATCTACAGACAGAGCAGGTCTACCAGGTTTGGAAGGTCTCAAGGAGACAGCAGTAAAGCCTAAGGTTGTGCTGTTCTGAGTGCAGACCCCTCCTGTCCTCAGCTCCTAGAACTGCCCTTGCCCCGGGGCAGCTTATCTCAGGTACACTGAAGCAGTGAGGGCCTCTTCCCTCATCACAGAGCTCTCACTGCAGGCGTTGCAGCACATGTACATCTGCTAGTAACAATAACCAGAGGAAGAGCCAAATGAAGGACAGTGGATGTGGTCGGATGGGTGAGCCTTATGCCAGAATCTATGCTTATGTCCAGAAATGTCATTTCTACAGCCTATGCTCCTGGGACAAACAAATCCTGAGTGACACGTGAGGTAAATTCTTCACCCACAGCTTAGCCAATACCAGGTGTCCAAAGAAGCACCTTCAGAGCAAAATGAACATATTTAGTTGTCCACCAAATTGTTTAACCAACTTGCTGCTTGACCTTCCAGCAGATTCCCAGGTGGCAAACACACTAACCTTTCCATGATAAATTATAATTCCCTTTGAACTGCAGCAGTATTCTCAAAGCTGCTTTGGAGTGGAGATGGGGGGATAGATGGAGTGGAGATGGAGTGGAGAGTAGGGTGAAGGCAGGGAGGATTACAGAGAAAAAGAAAGAGTATTCCTATAGTTGACAGGGCTGAAAGTCTGCCACTGAAGATCCTACTACCATATCCTTGACTAGAAGACATCTAAAGCTTTGGGGTAGACGGAATCTTGGCCTGGGATCCAATGCCTATTTCCTAAGGCCCAAGAAACCCTGGACGGTAGACATCTTGTGGGCCCAGGAATGAAAAACTGAGTACACCCATGACTTCAGAATCCCAAGTGGCAGAGTCTCCATCATGACAACGGGACAAACCCAGGGCCAAGCTGCCCACGGAAGGGAGGCAGAGGAGCCCGGGGAGGCCACAGGCACTGAGACACCCTATGACCCGTCAGGTGTGAGGAAGCATGAAAGCCAGGTGAGAAGAAAGATGCCATCAATCTAGGACAGGTGGCTACCAGGCAGTTATGAACCTAGGAAGGGCCCCCAAGAGGGTACATCGCTTTCAGCTCTGTCTCTTGAGTATGTAAGTGGCAGTTGGACTTATGTCCTTCCCCATCTGCTCTTTCCTCAGCTTCCCCCATCTCACTAATGTGGTACCTAGACTCCTCTTGGAATCACAGGGGGCCCCGTTCACACCTCACACTGACTGCACTGGCCAATCCTGTTGAGTCTATCTTCAAAATCTAAAAGGGAGAATTCAACCTCCTGACATCTCGACCATGTCCCAGTGCAAGCTGCCCTCATTTTCCACCAAAATTACTTATGGCCACTTTCTCCTGTGCAGAAATAGCCTGGACTAAGGGTTTATTTCAGAATTAGTTACAAGTCTCTAAACTGGTCTCCTACTTCCATGACTGCCCCTCCCCCTCATCTCTCCTCTACACAGGGCTGCGAGTCATCACAAGAGCCCCTGATGGTCCTCCACCCTCACTCAAAGTAAAAGCAAAGTCCTTGTGGCCTCTGGCACCCACAGTGGTCCTCACACTACAGTGGTAGATGGCCCCCAGGCCTGAAGAGGCCAACCACACAGTAAAACATTAGGGTCCTACCACAGGTCCCGCTTGGTGCGAGGACCAAGAGCCAGGTAGAATGATGGACGTCTCAGAAAGCAACTCTGGCTGAGACAACTCCAGGGTTAGAGGAAAATATTTATCTTCGTAACATAAGTATTCTTATGCCTGTTCTAAATCTTTATCTGGTATTAATAAACCAATGCCTCCTAATATTTAGTTAGCAATGAAAAGGGATTAGACACTGTTTGACAATCGGATATGGAGTCGCTGTTAGTCATGACAGTTAGTTATATCAAGGGGCAATATGCTCAGGACTGAGGTTATAAGCTATAACAGAAACAACTTTTGGAGTGACCAAAACCACAGGTGTGGACACTTGGATAAGGACACCACATGGACACTAATATGAGTGGGACTACCGCCCATTGTGGGCTATAAGAACTTAGAGCTCTGACCATCCCGCACTTGAGCTTGGCTGTACCGTGGGTCATGCTTGGAGCCCAATGGGACTTCCACTCCACCAGACACATGCTGCCACTGTAGCTGCCCGGCTTGAGATGGACGCCCACCTCGCCATCCCTGGAGGCTACCGGTAATCTGGACTTGGAGCTCTGTCCCCAGAAGATCCCCCTTTCTGCATGTAACCTGTGTGTAACTCCACTGGCTTATTGGGGAGGTCCCCCGTATTAAACCTGGCATTGTGGAAAGACACAATGTGTGTGAGTGACTCCTTTCAGGGTCGCTCCCTTGTTCACAATAGGGATCAATTCAATTAGACATAACGCTGGGCCCTCCAACGTTGCTACACATTTTTACAGGCCTTAGTAGAAAGAAAGTAGACTGGAACAATCAATAAAAGATGTATTTAATTCCATCAAGGAATGGAAACTTCTACCAAATGTAACTAGAATTCAAACTCCCAAGGTCAGCAATCTTGTCCTTTAAGCCTTTTTTTTTCTCCTCTAAAGCAAATAATTATAATACCTAAGAGTACCCACGTGACTCAAATCCAGACTCCAACAAGTGAGTACATTTCTGATCTCTATGAAGGCTTGTCCTATTTGTTTAGGCAAACTCCTTTGACATCCTTTAAATTTTATATATCACAATTAAACATAATCTTCATATGCTAAACATTTAAAAACTATTTTAATCCATTGTTGACGTTCTCCCCTAAATTTCTATTCTGATTGGGTGACTTAAACAAGGCCTTTTGTATTAAATACAGAGGGTGTATTCACTTAAAAATAATAATTTCCACCAAGACTAGCTAAAGAATCAGGGATATAACTGTGCCACGGTTTCTTATTATTTGAATCAAACATAAAAGGCAAGAAATGTTAAGGCAAATAGTGAATAAAGTATAATTCACATTAAACATAATTAGGAACTCAGTCAAAGAAGAACATACGCAGTACTACTGGGTCAAATTTTTAAGAGCACATTTTTGGGACACACACCTGGGGCTGAAAGCCCAACCTTTCCTCTTCTAACTAAATCTGTAATAAATCCAACTCCAGGTTATTTCCACATGGGAGCCGGTCCTGCTTATACCCCCGGCGTTACACCCACTAAAAACCGGAAAGAGCTACAAGCGCACCGCAGAAGTACCACAGCACGACTGCTCTGTGTACAGACGGGTTCTGGAAAGACTGCCTTACCTGACAGCCTGGGAAGGTCCCACTACGCAGCAAGCACCACGCTGAGAAGACTTGGTCGCCGCTATGATGACGGCAGAAATTGCTTCCCCTCCAAACCACGATGCTTGAGAAACTCAGCCTTTTCAGGCCAAGCCGGGTCCCAAGAAAGCCCACCCAGGCGAGACATCACCGAAAAGAAATGCCCCGGGGGCCCTAGGTAAGGGTGTAGACAGGCGAGGGCGCGTCAGGGAAATCCTGGGGAGAAGGACGGTGGGCGCGGCGGCCGGCGTGCGCGGGTGAGCTGCGCTTTCCCCAGCCCGCCACCTGCCGCGGGACCCCTCTCGGGACGCCGGGCGAGTGGCCACCGCGGAGGAGGACGACTTGGACCTCGTGGCAGGGTGCGGTGCCGTGCCGCGCGCGGCGTCCGGGAAGTTCGCCGGGTGCTCCCGCCGGCCTGTGCCCTCTCCCCGCCCCCTTCCCATAGACCACCGGAGAGGGTCGCGGCGCTCCGGGAGTCCGCGGCCGGACCCGAGGCACCAGGTGGCCCACTATCCCTCCCTCGGTGTTGCATCATGCAGCACGCTGCGCCTTACAGTACAAAATGGACTCCGATGGCGGGAACGCCGCGTGGGCACCAACCGCGCATCGCCTGGCTGCCCTACCCTCGCCACTCGGAATATGCCAGCACCCCCGCGTAGGGACCCGCGCCGCCCTCCCACGACTCCTCGAGATCCCGGGGTTCTCTCCAAGGTGATCCGGATCCAGGAGCTGCCCTGGCGTGGCAGGGCCGGACACTCACCGAGCCGGCGGGCGGCGGGATGCAGGCAGGACCGTATAGCTGGATGGACCGAAGCGCGGACGGAAGCGCGCGGAGTGGAGTGGGACTGCCGTTAGTGGATGCCGGTGGCCCCGCCCGCGCGTGGACAGCTTACACCTGCCTGCACCGACGAAATGAAGGGTGGCTGGCGGGAGCAGGATCCGCGCCTGGTTTTATCAGCCGCTGTCGCGTCACAACGGTGCACCAATGGGAAGCGCGTGGCTGTGGCACCAATCAACGTGGGATTTCCCTGCGGGCAGTGCCTATTCACCCGGTTGCTATTTCTCTGCCTCTCAGAGCTGGTGGTGATGGCGGGACTGCATCACAGGGCATGGACCTTGCCAAGCTCACTGACACTGGTTTTCTTCCTCCAAAAGTAAAAGATCCTGGAGGCACTTCAATGCTTTTAAAAAATTATTATACATCTTCGTTTCTTTTATTTTATTGCTATGCCCTTGCTTTTTGTAGAGAACGTACTGGGCCATTGTCAGGGAAGGTTTCAAACCCTCCATCTGCTGGTGCCCCTGGCAGGTGCACTAGCACACCTAGCCAAAGGGCTAGTCCAGCGGTGTCCTTTCAGAGGCACTATCCCAGAGATGGCACATATTTGAGCACCACTCCCACCCTACTCAACTCGCCAGGTACCTCTTTGTTGTCTCTCTCTGCTCCAGTAAACCAAGCAAGGACCATCATCTATAGAGATCCAGTAATCTGCGACAGGAGAGATGAACTGTACAGATTCATCCTGCCGGCCTTCTGACTTTGTAGGATAACTGGAAACCTATTTGTCCATGTCCGTGGCCTGCACATCCTTTCCACACCTTGTACCTGTTCAAGTCCTTGGTCAATAATTGGGATGCATTGTCAGCCACCACTCATGACACCCTCTTGTAATCACACTAGCAACTTATACAGCATATGACCCCACGTACTAGCTTGGGAAAAGGTTTTAATGAAGGGAAAAAAGGGACTAATATTTGTAAAGCACATTGAACTGTGCTTGGCATCGTAATAAGCAACTATATATGCCTTGTTTTAAAATAATACATTCTAGTTTCAATTGTGCAGTGGTGAAATGATGCTTCCAAACGTCACTGAGGCGGCCTACCTTGCTGGGGCTTTTTCTGAACCCCACACAGCCTCCCTCACCTACGGGTGCTGCCATCAAAGTATGTCCCCTTCACATCCAGTTCAACTCAAGGACTGGCTCCTTTGCCTTTGGCACCAGATCTGGGTTTCATTCCAACCCCTACAACTTTGTTCACTGTGTGTGGTCTTCTGCAACCTATTTCACTTGTGCTTGGAAGTCACACACCTCATAGGAATTTTTTAAATTATATTTTATTGATTATGCTATTACAGTTGTATCAATATTCCCCCTTTACACCCCTCCACCCATTCCCTCAGGCAAACCCCACACCATTATTCATGTCCATAGGTCATGCGTATAAGTTCTTTGGCTACTCCATTTCCTATACTGTACTTTACATCCTCATGGCTATTCTGTAGCTACCTATTTGTACTTTTTAATCCCCTCATCTGTACACCCATTCCCCCACCGCCCCCTCTCATCTGGCAACCATCCAAATGCTCTCCATATCCATGATTCTATCTCTCTTCTTGTTTGCTTAGTTTGTTTTTTTTAGATTCAATTGTTGATAGATATGTTTATTGCTATTTTATTGTTCACAGTTTTGATCTTATTCTGTTTCTTAAGTAAATCCTTTTAATATTTCATATAATAATCATTTGGTCATAATGAACTCCTTTAGTTTTTTCTTGTCTGGAAAGCTCTTTCTACCCTTCCATTCTAAATGATACCCTTGTTGGGTAGAGCAATCTTGGCTGTAGATCCCTGCTTTTTGTGACTTTGAATATTTCTTGCCAATCTCCTCTTGGCAAAGTTTCTTTTGAGAAATCAGCTGACAATCTTATGGAGATGCACCTATAGGTAACTAACTACTTTTCTCTTGCTGCTTTTAAGATTCTGTTTTCATCTTTAACTTTTGACATTTTAATTATGATGTGTCTTGGAGTGGGCTTTCTTGCATCCATTTTGTTTGGGACTCTGTGTTTCCCGAACTTATATGTCTATTTCCTTTCATTATTTTTTCAAATAGCTTTCCAATTTCTTGCTCTCTCTCTTCTCCTTCTGGCATGCCTATGATGTGACTGTTGGAATACTTAAAGTTGTCCCAGAGGCTGCTTACACTTTCCTCATTTTTTTGGATTCTTTTTTCTTCTTACTATTCTGATTGATTGTTTTTTGCTTCCTTATGTTCCAAATCATTGATTTGAATCAACTACAAGAGGAGGAGAGTATACTCAGCCCACACGAAGGACACACCCTGAGTACCTAGTTTGGGTGATAGGAGAGGCAGTGCCACTGGTCCCTACAGGACACCTATTACATTAAGCCACACTACCAAGACAGGGAGTCATAAAAGCTCTACCTAATACATAGAAACAAACACAGGGAGCTGCCAAAATGAGGAGATCCCAAGGAACACGGCCCAAATGAAAGAACAGGTCAAAACTCCAGAAAAAGAACTAAACAAAATGGAGATAAGCAATCCACCAATGTGGAGTTCAATACACTGTTTTTAAGGATGCTCAAGGAACTTAGTGAGGATCTCAACAGCATGAAAAAGATCCAGTCAGAAACAAAGGATACACTAATTGAAGTAAAGAACAGTTTACAGGGAAACAACAGAAGAGTGGATGAAACCTCTATATTCTTATCATAAGGCTATCCTTTAGTGTTTGAAATATAACTATGGAGTAAAAAACCTCTTGGCAATAAATAGAATTTAGTAGATTGTAGAGTTGCTCTGTTTGAGCAACACAGAGAGGAAACATAGAGTTAATATTTGTAAATTCTGAGAGCAAGTTTTCCAAGCCCTAATAGGAATACGAGTGGAACTTAAGAAAGGGATTTTTAACATTGTGCTCAGGTTAGCAATCCCATCCAGCAGGTTTCATCTTCAGAAAGACAACAGGAGACCCTCCATGACAAGGCCCATAAGCAAGCAACTGCCCATCAAAAAGGATTCAGTGTCAACTAGGAAAAAAGCACTATGTTTGAGGGCTCTGCAAACTGTTAGAGAAAAAGCTGAAAAATTGGTTGAATATTTTAAGTAAAGCTAAATTTTAGCTAGGTTAGGATTCATATTACAGGTCCAGAGTTTTAGGCAACCTTGATTAGAATCAAAGAACAATTGAGCCAAGATTCCAAAGAAGATTAAGGAATGAAGATGCTAGACTTAAAGCCTCAGAGGGCACCATCTAAAGTTGAGATTGTTGGACAAAGTCGCAGCCTGGCACATTAGGTAATATAGAAAATGCACAGAATCAGTCATACAGATGTTGTTTTGAACTCTATATTTTATGTCAGCTGCTGGCCTAAGGAAATTGTGTTTGTCACCTCTTAGCCTCAGCTAGAAAGAATTTTACTACCTGTCAGATGGGTGTAAACTTCATAGTGAGAATGAAAAAATTTCAATAAAAATCAAGCTGGAAAAATATATACATAAGGCACTCACAAAAATTAAATCAAAATGGATTGAAACCTTAAACACAGACCTGATACTGTAAAACTCTTAGAAGAAAACACAGACCAAAAAGTCCTCAACACTGCTCTTCACAATGAGTTTTTGATATGACACAAAGCACAAACAACAAAAGACAAAAATCAACAAATGGGAGTATGTCAAACTTAAAAGCTTTTGCATGTCAAAAGAAACAATTAACAAAATGAAAATGCTACCATGCAATGGGAAAAACACTTTGCAAACCAAATATCCAATAAGGGGTTAATACCCAAAATATATAAAGAATGCATTTCTCATAACAAAAACAAAATGAACAATCTGATTTTACAAATGGGCAAAACTAAATAGATATTACAAAGAAGATGTCCAAATGGCCACCAGGTACATGAAAAGATGCTCAACATTACTAATCACCAGGGAAATGCAAATCAAAACAACAATGAAATATCACCTTATACCTGTTAGAATGGCTATTATTAAAAAAGACAAGAGAAAGCAAGTGCTGGTGAGAATGTGGAGAAAAGGGAACCTTGGTGCACTGTTGGTAAGATTGTAAATTGGTGCAGCCACTGTGGAAAACAGCATGAAGATTACCTGAGAAATTAAAAGTAGAGCTACCTTATGATCCCGCAATTCTACTTCTGGTTAGTTACCTGAAGAAAATGAAAACACTAAGTTGAAAAGATATATGTACCCCTGTCTCTTCACTGCAGCATTATTCATGATAGCCAAGATATGGAAATGACACATGTCCATCAACAGATAAATGGATAAAGATGTGGTATATACAAGGTCTGTGCACAAGATATTCAGCCATGTACTATGAAAAATAGAGACATTTACTGAAGGAGACACAAGATACAAGAAACATTGTACATAAGACAATGATGCCTTAGTTCCCTTCAAAGTAGGCACCTTGGGACCTCACACAGTTCTCCCAATCGCCATCAGCTGACCCGTTGCATTTTCCTGAATCTTATTGACAGCCTGAAATCTCTTCCCTCTCAAAGGTGATGTTAGTTTTGGGAAAAGCCAGAAGTCGTAGGGCACCAAATTTGTGCTACTATGGGGCTGAGTCACCTGAGTGATTTGATGTTTCGCCAAAAGACTCTGCATGAGACGTGATTCATGTGCAGGCACATTGTCATGATGACACTGCCAATCACCAATTGCTCATAGCTGCAGCCTTCTGAATCATCCAAATAGTTTCCATGGAGGAACTTTCAAGCTTAATGTAAAATTTGGTGCAGATCTATTGTTCTACTCAGTCATTTTGAATGCAATGGCCGCACAGTACACATGCTCAGTCGACAGCATCTACCTTCTCCACTGACTAGTACAGTGAAGTTGTCAGTGTTCATGCATATGCATTCCAGTCCACTC